CTCAACCCGCCTCAAAGCCAACGCTGATTGGACGTTCGTTTGGTGAACGGCTCCAAATTTTCTTTAACGGAGAGTCTCCAGACTGATCTGCGAGTGAAACCTTGAAAGCTTGTGAAATCAGGATGGTCTCGCGAGGCTAAGAAACTCTGGCTGTAGTGCCATCCTTGGCACACCTCGGACACTATCCCAGACACCGTGCAGGACGCTAGTTTGTAGTCTGTTGGTTTGCAACCGAAGCCAAAACACACAGCGCCAAGGCCAGTCTTTCAGGAACTCTGATGGGTGAACTGTGCGTCGTCTGTCGTTGGATGAGAGGTTGTAGACGGTGAACAAGCTTGTCAAACCAACACAAGGACACCCACAGTCCTAGCTAGATCATGACTGTTCCTTTTGCATTGTGGCTTGGAATAACAGTGCAGACCACGCTTCAATATTGGGCATAAATCAAAAATATCTGCGTCATGCCTGCGACAAGCTCACTGCGGCAGTGTGGAGTATAACCAGCCTTTAGACTTAGGCAAGTTTTATTGTCATTTTGTACAAAAATGACATTTTGGTGACAAATTTGGTTTTGCACAGCTTTCAGACAGTAAATGAGCAGCAGCTTAGCGGTGAAAAAATGAACACTAAGCTAAAGTGACCTAAATTATGCCCTTTGTTTCAGGGTTATATCTATCTGTTGCAGCAAACAGGCCCTCAAGGAAAGTTTGACATCCTTTAATTTTTAACCTACAAGAAAATTTAACAGTAGCCTCATGTTTGCCAATAGAGGGCAGCACTAAGATGATTTTAGCATAAATTTAGCAAAAAATAAACAAGTTTAAATCAAAATGATGTACACACACACACACTTCAAAAAAATGAAATCTAAACAGTTGTTTTATCTTAGAATAAGTGCAGTCTTTTCTTGAATTGAGGAGGTATGTGAGACGCTTTGACAATGGAGCAAGACGATTTGCATTTAAAATAAAAAACAATTGCATTGTCTTATTTCAAGTCCATATTATCTAATCATCTTATTTTAAAAGTAAAATACCCCCTCCATTGGCCATTCATCTATTTATCTATTCAAATTTAGGCTAAATACTACGGAAGAGGATTAAGGCCAGTGGATTTTTAAATTTTATTTCAGTTCAGTATCGGAAAAAAGTCAGAATTCTGTCAATAAAAAAAGTCAGAATTCTGACTTTAATCTCAGAATTCTGAGAAAAAAGTCAGAATTCTGACTTTAGTCTCAGAATTCTGAGAAAAAAGTCAGAATTCTGACTTTTTTCCCATGTTAAACTGAAATAAAAAAAAATTTCAGTGGCCCTAATCCTCTTCCGTAAAATACACTTAAATTGAGAAGTTTTTACTTATTTCTAGTTCGTTCTTGCAGTGCAGTAATGTAAACACTGCAAAAACGATCTAGAAATAAGTAAAAAATTCTTAAATTAAGTGTATTCACCCTTAATTTGAGTAGGTAAATGAGATAGTTTGCCAATGGAA